TAATAATCACTTTAATGTAGCTTGTGCCAACAGTCCTATACAGAAGCAGCTCCGGGAGGATGGTGTATGAGTTCAGCGCTGCGCATGCGCCGCTCAGAAGTGACGAACGCGGAAGCGCAGGGGAGAGATCAAAACAAAACAACGGTCACTTATTAGAAGTACAAAACGAGGATTTGTAAAGAAGAATGTCGGAGGATTTCGATATAAGCCAAGAGGAGACTGGTTTTCCTTTGCTAAAGTAAGGAAACTTTGCTTCCTTTGCTCCTGTTAATAAACGTTGGTTTTCACGAGACTCACCGGCGCATGCGCAACGCTGACCTCATACGTCATCAGCCCGGACCTGCTTCCGTGTACAACTGTTGGCGCAAGCTACATTAAAGTGATTATTACGTTTTGAATATGGATATTTTTCTTACAAAAACGCATCGATTCACTACAGAAGGCCTTTGTTCACCCCCCGGAGCCGTGTGAGACACTTTTTTTTATGGATGGGCGATTTTTATTTAACTTCTTTTGGACTGATGCATGCAACACCCGCTGAGTGGCATTAAACAGCTTTAAAGATCAAAGACAATTTTTTATATAACTCCGACTGGATTCGTCTGAAAGAAGAAAGTCATATACACCTAGGATGACTTGAGGGTGAGTAATTTGTGGGCTAATTTTCATTTTTGGGTGAACTAACCCTTTAAGGCCATAATATTAGACTCATTTCAGAATCACAAATATGACAGTGTCAATAAAGATGGTTTAATATTATTTATGATTTAAACTTCAGTCACAAAACAATATGTTACAGTTGATTTGTTTCAGTGAATCAGTTCCAAACTGCATAGAATGACGACACATTAAAGACTTTACTTTTTTATTTGTAAATTTTAGTTTTTTACATTTTTGTTTTAGTTATTTTAGAATTTGATGGTCCCCATTGACTTCCATAGTATGGGAGAAAAAAATACTATGGAAGTCAATGAGGACCATGAACTTTGGTTACAAACATTCTTCAAAATATCTTCTTTTGTGCTCAGCAGAAGAAAGAAATTCATACAGGTTTGGAACAACTTGAGGGTGAGGAAATGATAACAGAATTTCCATTTCTGGGGGAACTATTCCTTTTAATTTAATATAGCAAATTACCCAGACCTACTCAACTCCACTTAAGGTAACATGTGGCACACCAGAGTTTCTACCGTTAGCATCCCTTTCAGACATTTGACCGCAATAACAGAGTGATCTCGGACTGTGGTCGGCACTGACACTGTATTCACCCGTGTGGTCAGTCTGTCCTAAAAAAAACACAGAGTCTGCCATTTATATCAGCTTAGCAGAATGTGCTTTTGTCCTGAAATACTCTGCATGCTTCATAACAAAAAAATAAATACATTTCTAATAACATTCAGTGAATCAGCACATTTTCCGGTGTTACACAGGAATGCATGATATTTTGCAATTTAGTTCCAGCCTGACCGAATAAATATCTGATAATATAAATACTCCGGCAGTCCAAATGCGCTCCAAGCACTGCAGACATATTAAAAATGTTTTCCTAGAAATAAAAATGAACCATGTGCTACAAAAAACCCTATGAGTGTGCTTGTGTGGTTTCCAGTCCCTTATTGTTAAAACGACAGCAAATTGCTTCAAATTCGACCAACTCCACCAATGAAAAAAGAGTCAATATCAGTCAATTAGCTTCTTAACCCAACAGGCATCAATAGTGTGATGCATTTCAGGACGTAAAATATGGGGGATGTCAGTAAAGCTTTGTAGAGAGGACAGAATTAAGACATTACAGGCCTAATGAGTCCTAAACCATCAAAGAAGAGCAGCCGACTCAGCAGAAACACAGCCTGCAGATGC